CCCCACAGTGCCCCCACTCGCTTATCCTGAGTCACGGGATGGACACGCAGGAGAAGCCATCGATGCAGGCCAGGGCTGGCCGGTCCCCTGGGGTCTCAGTAGCAGGAGCAGCCTCGGCCACTCCCACATTCCCACTGTGGGTTCCCTGATTCGGGGGTTGGGTGGGGACTCAGTGACAAGAGAACATGAGGCTAGATGGGGGCTGGGGACGGTCAGTCACGCGGGCAGGCTGATCTGGACCAGGAGCCCCTCAGGGTCAGACCTTTTGGGGGCGGTGCCCAGAGGCAGCAGACAGCATGGGGAGGCTGAGGATGGCGTCGGGGGTCAGAGGACCCCAGCTTGGTGCCCTCCTGGCCTGGCCTGGCACACCCACTGCCTCCTCCGGCCGAGCCGTTCACCTGGATGAGACGCCTGCAGCCCGGCTGACCAGTGCCCTCCAGACCCTCCTGCTCGTTTCTCACCGAGGACTGTCGCAGTTTGTCATTCCTGGCTCTGACCTGGGGCTCTGGCACCGGCTCTCAGCACATCTGCTCTGCTGTAGGACCCCAGGGGTGGGCAGTGCAGGAAAACCCCCTCCCTGTAAACAGCTGGGGTGGGACGTTGGGTTTCCAAGGAGGGGCTTGAGGGCCCCGGTCCACCACATTTCTATTTCCCAGAACATCAACCCCTTCTCATGGCCACTTCCCCCTGGAAGCCCTCCTAATGGGCTCCACGTAGACCCCCCCCCCCCCCAACCACACGACTGTCCCGAATTTGTTCTGTGCTTGCAAAGCGTCAGCCTCCTTCACTGAACCCCAGCAGCGAGTCTCGTATGTCCCAAACACCATGAAACTCTGAGCTGCAAGGCAAGATTCCTGCCTGAGCGTGGGAGGGGTCCCTGATCACCCCCCTTCTCAGTAGCAGGATCAGCCCCGGCCACTCCCACATTCCCACCGTGGGTTCCCTGATTCGGGGATTGGGTGGGGACTCAGTAATAAGAGAACATGGGGCTAGGTGGGGGCTGGGGAGGGTCAGTCACGAGGGCAGGCTGACCTGGACCAGGAGCCCCTCAGGGTCAGGCCCTTTGGGGGGGTGCCCAGAGGCAGTAGACAGCATGCGGAGGCTGAGGATGGTGTCGGGGGTCAGAGGGCCCCACCCCAGCCGCTCTCAGGCCAGGTGCCCCTCCAGCGGATCCCTCCTTGCTAGGACACACAGGCCCCAGGCTGGTCTGGGGGACCTCAGAGCACTGGTCACTCACTCACTCCTGAATGCAGCCCAGGAGGCCAGGTGTCTAGGGAGAAGGCCTGGACGCAGCACAAGGACAGCCGGGCTCCAGCTGGGGGAGGGAATGCCGCCCCAATCTCAGGGTCTTCGTCTGCAGAATGATGGGGTGAGATGGCAAGGGTGTGGGTGCATTCTCTGACCCCCACAGGCACCCCACAAGTAGGCCCCAGACTGAGGTTTGGGGAGACGGTGAAACCCTTCCCTCCCACAGCAGCCATGGCCAAAGCCCCCAGGAAGTGGGCTGGGGGGTCTCAGGGTCTCTGGCTGAGTCTCTGCCCTTCAAGGGGGCCTCCCCCTCCTGCTGGGCCAGCTGCCACCTGGCTCGCACCACCGTCTGGCGTGCTGGCAGGGCCGTGCCCCAAGCTAGGCAAGGGCACATCAGAAACGCGGCATCTGGCCGAAACCCTGGAGCCTGGCTCTGGCCAGAGGCACCGACTGCCCGCCCGCCCGCCTGCGCTGTCCGGAGCCCGGGATGAAAGCAGCTGGCAGGCTGGCGCTGCGGCCTGGTGGTGCCCAGCTCAGAGCAGGGGCTGCCAACCGCCTCGGGCTGAAGGTGCTCGCGCACGTGTGTGTGTGTGTGTGTGTGTGTGTGTGTGTGTTGCAAGCATTGTGTGAGCTACAAAAGGAAGACAATGGGGCCCAAGCAATAGTACAGTGGGTAAGATGGGTAAGTGGGTAAGGCATTTGCCTTGCACACAGCCATCGCGGGTTCAGTCCCTGGCACCTCGTACGTTCCCCCAAGCACCCCAGGAGTAAGTCCTGAGCCTCACTGGGTGTGGCCCAAACACCAAGGGGCCAGAGGGACAGTACAACAGGGAGGGTGTTTGCCTTGCACGTGGACAACCCAGCTTCGATCCCCGGCATCCATGCAGTCCCCGGAGCCTCCCCCAAAGTGGCTCCTGAGTGCAGAACCAGGAGTGATTCCTGAGCATTGCCAGGTGTGTGCCCCCAGACCAAACCAGAAGCCAGCCCCCTGCCCCCTAGTTCCAGCCCTCCCGTTAAAGGGGACCCCATTGGGAGCAGACTGAATTGCAGCCTAAGAAAGGCAGGGGTGTGGACCCCAAGGCCCAGATAAAATTTCCATCCACTCTGCCCTGCCCTGAAACCTCCCTTCTAAGGTTTCAATTCTGAGGATGCACGTATACTTCTATTAATTTATGCTAATTTTTTCTTTCTTGGGTCACAGCCGGCGGTGCTCAGGGGTTACTCCTGGCTCTGAACTCAGAGGAATCACTCCTGACAGTACTCGGGGGACCATATGGGATGCCGGGATGGAACCCGGGTCAGCCACACGCAAGGTAAATGCCCTCCCTGCCTTGCATGGGACCAACCTGACTCATCCCCGGCATCCCATAGGGTCCCCTGAGCCCCACCAGGAGTAATGCCTGAGCACAGAGCCAGGAGGAACACCTAAGCTCTGCCGGTGTTTCAAAAAGCCAAAAAATAATAATAAACCAAGCAACAAAACCCCACATCCATCCCATCAGCCTCCTTGTTGCCGTTTTCCTTTCCGAGGCTTGGGGCACACCCTGTGGTGCTAGGGATGAGATCGGGTGGGCTGCGTGCACGGTCAGCGCTAGCCCTGTACCACCCAGCCCCTTAGAGTGTAAACTCTGCCTCCATGAGCTCCCGGCTGATATTCACCAGCACTCCCACTCGCACCCACGAGATTAGGCCAAAGCCCACCCAGAGACGAGGCCTTTCCCCCACCAACCCCGGGGCCCTGCCCGGGTCCCCTGAGATGTGTGAAGCAGAGCCCACAGTCACAGGAAGTCAAGGAAACAGCAGAAACTGGAAGCCAGGCTGCTGATCAACATTTTCTTTTTATTACAAGCTGGAAGAGAATCCTCCCTGGGCCAGGGGATATAGTAAAACGACATGGACCCACGTAGAAAATCTGGCCCAAACACGGCCTTTTAGAAACACTGCGGTATAAAAACGGGCATTAGGTGCACTCCGTGACAGGGCGGAGGTGGCCCCCGGGGACATCTGGTCCCTGCCCACAGGCTACTTGGTCCCGCAGGGGCGAGCCTGAGGGATGGGGCGTGCCTCGAAGACAGGGGGCTGGGCCCCAAGACGCCAAACCCGATGCCCAGCTTGGAGGCTTGTCCCGTCGGCCCTGCCTGGCTGGGCTCCCGCCCGGGGTCCAAGTCTACACAGAAACCACCTTCCGGCGAGGGACTTTCCTCATTTCCAAACGGGATTTTTCTGAGCAAGCGGACCGAGCTAAATCATTTGCTTGATTCGGGGGCAGCGGTGGGGGTGGTGGTGTTGAAAACTAGCTCTGATGGAGCAACACAGAAGGCTCAGAGCAGCAGACAGCTCGGAAACCCTCGGGTGAAGCCCCGACAAGCCTCTGATGAGACAGAACAATTTCCATATTACAAAGTAACTGATTTTCAAGCTTCTCGATTTTCGTATTGGAGCTCCGTGACTAATCAATTAAAGCTCTAGAATCGTATCAACAATTGTGGCTTTTGCTTACATTAAAAAAAAAAACCACAAAAAAAAATAGCTCTTTTGGGTGCTGGTGGTGGGGTGACACACACTGTGGCTCTCTGGGGATCACCGCTGGGTCTGTGCTCAGAGGCCACACCTGGCAGTGCTCAAACCACCCGTGGGGCTGGCATCTGAACCACGGTCCCGGCGCAGCCACGTATCAGGCAGGTACCTGCCCAGAAACCTGTCCCCAAGCGCCGCAGAGGTCGCTCATAGGCTAGAGCGTGGGCCTGGTGTGCACAGGGCCCCAGGACGGCGCCTGGCACTGCGTGAAACCCCCAAGCACTTCAGGGTGCAGCCGTGAAGGCCCCTGGCACGGGTGGGTGGGTTTCAAACCTCCCAGCCCACTCTGGGGAGTGGCCCCGGGCTCGAGAGCACTGTTGGGAGGGTGGGATCTCTGCTGCCCTCCATCCCCACTGTTCTTCCATCGCCATTGGCAGAATAGAACAGCTGACCCCCCGGGAAGAATGAGACTGGGCCTCACACGCACTCGGTCTCAGCCGGAACACCAGGGAGTGACACTGGCCACGGAGACCATAGGGGCTGCGAGCCATGGAACCGTGATGGGTGGCACATCCATCACCAAGGCGGATGCCTGGGAACTGCCGTGCCTCTACCTCTGATTCGTTCCCACAGGGCGGCCTTCCTGCCCGGTGCATCTGAGAGTTGTGACAATGCAGCCATGTCCCCAATAAGGGGCTCTGCCGCTGCCCTAGCTGTGGGAATGGGGGTGAGGGGCCAGGGAGCATCAAGAAAGGCAATGGGGGGGGGATGGGGCGGCCCCATGGGCAGCGGTGCCCAAGCCACGGAGGAGAGTGGCCACCCTGCTTCTCTCATGTTGGGGGGCTCTGCTGGCATATCCATGGCCCCTTGAGCGTCTCACTGCAGAGGGACTCGACTTGGTTCTTCAACTGTGGCAGAAGTGAAGGGAGAGCTGGGCCAGGAAGGCGGGGTCTTTCCAGACACGATCTTGAGGGAGAGATCGGGCATCCGGCGCCCTGCAGGATGACACTGTCCACGTGCAGGAGGCCACCAGGCTGTCCACTCGGCTGCAACCTGGCAGCCCCCTCTAGTGGAAGTGATAGATTAAGGCACGAGCCGGGCCACCGAGCCACCTCCCCCGGCCGCAATAAAGAACAGCAGAGCGGAATCTTCCAGAAGGGGGGGACGCAATTCACAGGCCATCCCGGGCCCCGCCCGGCCCACGGTGTCTCCGCTCCGCCCGGCCTGTCCTCAGCACATTCTGGAGAGAGGCCCCGCGGGGCCACTAGCTGCCCGGGAGCCCAGGCAGGCTGCCCGCCGGGGCCAGGATGATGCCACACACGTAGGAGAAGCCCAGCAGGAGGTTGAGCTGGGCGGTCCTCTGGGGCAGCTTGCTGAAGGCCTGGCTCCGGAACTGCCGCTCCAGGGAGAAGGCCACGGGCAGCGTGAGCAGCGGCAGCGCCAGGCTGATGGTGCAGCGCGTGGCCAGGATGCTGAGCATGACGTAGGGCAGGAAGAGCAGCGCGCTGTAGAGCCCGTAGGAGCAGGCGGGCCCGATGAGGATGGCCAGCGTGACGATGCCCGCCGCGCGGTCCGACTCCATGTCCCGCGTGTTGTTGGAGTGCAGGATGGCCTCGGTGCTGAGCGCCAGCGGAACGGCGTAGAGCAGCGGGAACACGGCCAGGGAGCCCACCTGCACGGCGTAGGCGAACATCACGGCCAGCGGCCCGAAGGTGATGAGGATGACCAGGTCACCCAGCGCCACGTACTTGAACCCGATTCCTGCAGCAGAAGGTCGGGGGTGAGAGCCGGAAGGCGGGGGCTGGCTCAGCTCACAGCTGGGCAGACACCGCCCGGGGCCAGGGGGTGGGGGGGACACTGGCCGTGCAGGTGAGAGCCCCTTGGTCCACCCCCAGTACCGCGGGGGCCCCTGAGCACTGTCTGAAACCCCCCCAGGCATGTGGACAGGAACAGCCCCTGGGAACCAACAAAGGCAGGCCGGGGTCCAGCTGGTTTTTTTTTTTGGCTTTTTGGGTCACACCTGGTGATGCTCAGGGGTTCCTCCTGGCTCTTACAGGGAAGAGAAGGACAGGAATTCACAGCCACCTGGACACGAGGCTGAAGCCACAGGACAGTGGGGAGGGGGCACACAGACCCCCCGGGCTCCATGGCCGGCACCACCTACCGCATCCTGAGCCCCGCCAGGAGTGACCCCTGAGCATGGCTGAATGAGACCCTCGAACAAACAAACAAACAAACAAAAAGGCGCAAGAGTAAGAGCCCAAAACACACGAACACGGCTATTCGGGCAGAAGAGCCAAACGCAGAGGCCGCGCTGAGCCGCAGAGGAGGCCAGAGCCAGCTGCCAGCTTCTCCCCAAAGCAACCTTCGCCCTCTCGCTATGCACCACTCCTTTCTGCAGTACTCGGCCTCGGGCGCCCCGTTTCCTTCCTCCTTCTCCCCTGCCCATGGCAAACTCTGTCAGCTCCACTCCACAGCCCGGAGGGGCCTGTTCCCGCCTTCTCCAAGGCCGCCTGGATCCACGCCCGGATGCCCCGATGCCGGGCGTCCAGACGGGTCACAGCCTCCTTCCGGGCCTTCCCACCCCCACCTGCACCCGCTCTCCCCTCGCCAGTGTCAATGCCTGGAACATCAGCCTGGAGAACCAGGAGGCCAGAGAGATGGTCCAGCGGGGAAGGCGCTCGCCGTGCATGCTGGCGACTCAGGTTCGACCAGAGCCCCACCAGGAGTGCTCCCTGAACACAGAACCACGAGTGAGCCCCGAGCACGCCCAGATCTGGCCCCCAACAAACAAGCAAACAGTCTCAGTGGACCTTCCTGCCCTCCCTAAATGTACGTTTTTATTTTTCTGGTCTTGGGGTCACTCCCAGCGATGTTCAGGGGTTACTCCTGGCGGTGCTTGAGGGACCAGATGGGATGCTGGGGAGGGAACCCGAGTTGGCAAACACTGTCCCCACTGTACTCTCAGCCCAGCCCCCAAATGCACTTCTTCCTTGAACCTCCTTGGTTCTCTCTCACACACTCCTCGGCCAGGGCTCTCCCATGATCTTCCAGACCCTGGCTCGGTCACTAAGCGTCCTCCACCTTGGTTTTCACATCCGCTTTGGACTGTGCCCACCCTGAGTGCACTAGTTAAGATACTCGAGTCCTTCTTCACTCTCCGGCTTCTATACGGGGAGGGGCTATTAGGGGTCCCAGCTAGAGGTGCCGGGATGGAACCCGGGACTCCCAAATGCCAAGTGCACGCTGTCCCCTGTCCTGCCCCCATGGCGCCGGCATCCTTCCCTAGATAGAATCACGGTACTAACTCACCGTGACTCACCCCAAGTCCCGGACCCTGGGAACACACCGGAACGTGGGTCATTCTAACTCTCACAGGCCAGCTTCTTTTTCAGCTTTGGGGCCCAACCGAGTGTACTCAGGACTCGCTCCTGGCGGCGCCTGGGGGACCGTATGCTGTAGCAGGAGACAGAACCTGGCTCGGCTGCATGCCAGCCCGCGCCTTAACCACTGTACTATCTCTCCCGCCCTTATTTTCCATGTTTTGTATGTCCTTGTGATATCCATAAAAGCTCCCCCAAGAACAGGGAGCCTAGTGGCCATGATGTCCCTGTGTAGCAGTGCCTGGTCACTTGGCTGGCTCCCTGCCCCAGAGCTTCTGACCCCCTCCTACTTAATCCCATGCTGATCTGAAAGCTTAAAGGTGCAGCTAGTCTCTGAGGTGTGAGATGGTATCTCATTGTGGTTTTGATCTGCATCTCCCTGATGATTAATGATGTAGAGCATTTTCTCATGTGCTTTTTTGCCATTCGGATTTCTTCTTTGAGAAAGTTTCTGTTCATTTCATTGCCCCATTTTTGGATGGGGTTGGATGTTTTCTTCTTGTGGAGTTCAACCAGTATTTTGTATATCCTGGATATCAACCCCTTGTCAGATGTGTATTCGGCGAATATCCTTTCCCATTCTGTAGACTGTCTTTGTATTTTGTTCACTGTTTCTTCGGAGGTGCAGAAGCTTCTTAGTTTAAGATAGTCCCATTTATCTATCTCTGTTTTCACTTGCTCGGCCAGTGGCGTGGAGGGGAGATGCATGTCGAAAGTAGACTATGGACTGAACATGTTTGCCACTCAATGCCTCTTTTGCAGACCACAACACCCAAAAGGAGAGAGAGAACATAGGGGATTGCCCTGCCACAGAGGCAGGGGGCGATGGGGGAATGGGGGTGGGGGGGGATATCATCCATGGTGTTGGAAAATGGGCACTGGCGGAGGGATGGGTAGCTGATCATTGTATAATCGAAACCCAAGCACAAAAAATTGTAAATCTACAACTGTACCTCATGGTGTTTCACTAATAAAAAAAGAAAAAAAAAAGGTGCAGCCAGGGAAAGGACACGAGGTAGGATTTCTTTTTTCTTTTCCCATAGATACTTGTGTCATTCCTAACTCCGGAAATGCCAGGCCAGCATCTTCCGAACTCACTGAGAGTTTATGGGTTTCCCTCCAAAGTCCAGATGAGCGCTGGGGGCGGGGAACAGTAGGGAGTAAGATGCTTGCCAGGAGTAAGTCCTGAACACCGCCTGCCGGCGGGTGTGGCCCCCAAACCAGATAATGGAAAAGAAAGACGTGAGGGGCTGGAGCAACAGCACAGCGGGTGGGGCGTTTGCCTTGCACGTGGCCGACCCGGGTTCGGCTCCCAGCATCCCACAGGGTCCCCGGAGCACTGCCGGGAGTGATTCCTGAGTGCAGGAGCCAGGAGGAACCCCTGCGCATGACCCAAAGAGAGAAACAAGAAAGAAAGATGTGGCTGGAGAGAGCGCATCCGCGGAGGCATCCGCGGCCGGCAGCCCATGTGGTACCCAGAGCAGCGCCGGCCGCCGGGAGGGATGCTGGAGGGCAGAGCCAGGAGGAACCTCCGGGTGGCCGGGGCGGCCCCACCCAGGAAGGGAGGGAGAGAGGCAAGACTCGAGGGGCGCCACGCTCCTCGGCCCGACGTCCGAGCCCCTGGAGCCCGCGCCCCGCGCCCCCGCCCGCTCACCTCCCGTGTAGAGGAAGGAGCCCGAGAGGCCCCCGAAGTAGATGAGCGCCAGGTGCTCCAGCCGCAGCGGGGACAGGCAGTAGAGGCCGGCGGCGCACACGCAGCCCAGCGTGTAGAGGCAGACCCCGAACCGCACCACGTCCTGCGGCTCCAGGATCCGGTCCACCAGCGTCCGGTCGTCGCTCTTCTTGTGGTCGATGCCCTTGGAGAAGTCGTAGTAGGTGTTGACCAGGTTGCCCGCGCCGTGCACGGCCAGCACGGCCACGGCGCAGCCCACCAGCAGCCGGGGGTCCAGCGCGCCCTGCGAGCGGTAGGCCAGCGCGCTGCCCAGCGCCACGGGGGTCAGCGAGGCGCTGAAGCTCCAGGGCCGCAGCGCCAGCACGTAGGACGCGCACTGGTGCCGCCAGCCGCGCCGCGGGGCGCGCTCGGGCTCGGCGGCCTCGGCGCCCGGGAGGCCGGCGCCCTCGCCCGGGCCCTGCGCGGCGGCCGCCATGGGGGGCGTGGCCCGGCGCGCCCGGCCGGCCGCGCGTCTCACGGCGCCCCCCGACCCGCCTCGGGGCCCGCGCGCAGGCGCCGCCGCGTCCCCGGGGCCGCGCGCGCCGCCATCTTGTGCGCCGCCTCCCGGGCCCGGCCGGAAACCGGGGCCCGGGCCGGACCCGGCCGGCCGGCCGGCGGTGGCCGGGCGCGGGAGGGCGGGGCCAGGGCGGCTGGTGGGCGGGGCTGAGGGCGGGGCGGGCGGGCCCGAGAGTGGGGTGGGCGGGGCCAGGGCGCGAGGCGGAGCCAGAGCTCGGGCGGGGCGGGCGAGGCCGAAGCTCGAGGTGGGAGGGCCAGAGTGCAGGTGGGCGGGGCCAGGGAGCGAGGCGGAACCAGGGCGCGAGGCGGAGCCAGGGTGCGAGGCGGAGCCAGAGCGGGTGGGCAGAGCCAGGGCACGAGGCGGAGCCAGGGTGAGAGGCGGATCCAGGGCTCGGGCGGGGCGGGCAGGGCCAAAGCGCGAGGTGGGCGGGCCAGAGCGTGGGTGGGCGGGCCAGAGCGTGGATGGGCGGGGCCAGGGCGGGACGGGGCGAGCCAAGAGTGGGATGGGCGGAGCCAGAGCGGGTGGGCGGAGCCAGAGCGGGTGGGCAGAGCCAGGGCGCGAGACGGAGCCAGGGTGCGAGGCGAAGGGAGGGCTCGGGGAGGGCGGGGCCAAAGTGCGAGGTGGGCGGGCCCGAGCGTGGGTGGGCGGGGCTAGGGCATGACGGGCGGAGCCAAGAGTGGGGTGGGCGGAGCCAGAGCGGGTGGGCAGAGCCAGGGTGCGAGGCGGAGCCAGGGCTCGGGTGGGCGGAGCCAAAGCGCGAGGTGGGCGGGGCAGAGCACGGGTGGGCGGGGCCAAAGCTCCGCGGGGATGGCGTGGCCTTCCACGCAGACATGCACACACCAATCTTTCACTCACACACTCGCACGCACTCTCACACACATTCACACACTCACATAATACAGATACACAGTCGTACATACACACGCTCAAACACACACTCACATACACGCACACACACACACACACACACACACAGCGGACCCGGGTTTGATCCAGAGCCTGCCGGGAATGATCCCTCGGCATCACTGGGTGTGACCCAAATTTTTAAAAATAAAAACAAGAGCAGGGAATAAAAATTAGAAGAAGCAAAGGGGTGGGGGCAGCCAACGGTTTCTAACCCAGGGATCGGCCATGGTCCTGTTCCAGCAAACCGCTCCTAGACTCCCTGGAACAAGGGTAGCTTCATCACTTACTTAAAGAGTTGCTCACTAGATTAATACCCAAGAATAGCTGAGAGCAACACCAGGAGAATTACTCCATAACTTAGAGGCCAGCTGGGTATTCTAGGGGAAAGGACAATTCAGATAGAAAGGGGAACACCAAGTGGAGGGTGTTTGGAGGATCCTCCCAGGAGGGGAGATGCAGGTTGAAAGTAGACTGGGCTGAACATGTTCGCCACTCAATGCCTCTTTGGCTGATCACAGCGCCCAGGAGGAGAGAGAGAACAGGGGGGAATGCCCTGCCACAGTGGCGGGGGGGATGGGGGGATGGGAGGATGGGGGGGCGGGATATTATCCTGGTGGTGGAAAATGGGCACTGGTGGAGGGATGGGTATTTGATCGGGGTATGACCGAGATCCAAGCACAAAAATTTGTAAATCTACAACTGTACCTCATGTCGTTTCACTAATAAAAAAGAAAAAAAAAAAAAAGAGTTGCTCACTAATACTATAATATTACACTAGCGTGTTTTTTCCCCCACTTGATTGAGACGTTATGGAGTGCCTACAGTATGCAACAACCATTTATTGAGCACCTATTATTGTCTTCAGCAGTGACCAAATGGGAATGCAAGTGCAGCGAGAGCCATAAGACAGACTTAATTTTAAAATAATAGGTTTCATTTACCCCGACCTCCTCCTTTAGGTTTGGGGGTGTTTTTTTTAGCAGGAGGGTCACACCCAGCAATGCTCGGGAGTTACTCCTGGCTTGTTCTCAGGAATTACTCCTGGCAGTGCTCGGGATCAAACCCCTGTCTATTGCATGCAAAGCAAGCGCCTTACCCACTATACTGTGTCTCAGGCTCCCTTTCCCCCTTTTTTTTTTTTTTTTTTTTTTTTTTTTTTTTTATTTATTTATTGAATCACTGTGGGAAAGGCTACAAAGCTTTCAGGTTTATGTCTCAGTCATGCAAACATCAAACACATTTCCCTTTACCAACACTTATTTTTTACCATGAAGAACCCCAATAAAACCCCACCCCCCACCCCTCCCCGTCCCTGTGAGGCAGATGAATTCTAGTTAACACTCTATCTGCTTTGATTAGATTCATTGTTTCAATAAAAGATTCACCACTATTATTTAGAGTTTACCCCCCCCCCCCAAATCAGACATGCTGAAAAAGCATTGTGAAGTGATTTGCTTTCTACGGCTGGGTTCAAGAATTAAATGTTGGTTTTGGATTTCTGCTCTTTTACCTATTGACCCTGGAAGTATTTCCACTGAAAGTCAGATAGTTAAGAAACTGGTTTCTGTGTTCTGGAGTCCTGGCCGTGCTGGAGAGCCGCCCGCGGGGGGCAACCGGTGGCCTCGGTAGGGCGTGAAGGGCGGACCGAAACGCCCCCCTTCCCATGAGGTTTTAGTCGCCCCCACACTCCCGGCTCATACCTGCTGTCCACAAGGCTCCCATGTGGCCGCCATCTTTCTTTCCAAAGAGGAGAGGGCGAATGGGGCAACACCCTTTCCCCTCCGGCAGACCTGATGGCCTGGATCAATGCAGAGTCCGTTCACTTTTCTGCTCCAAGCTGCTGGGTTCTGCATTAAGTCCTTGTGCTTCTGGGGCCGTGGCCGTGCTGGAGAGCCGCTCGCGGGGGGCAACTGGTGACCTCGGTAGGGCGTGAAGGACGGACCAGAACGCCCCCCTTCCCATGAGGTTTTAGTCGCCCCCACACCCCCGGCTCATACCTGCTGTCCACAAGGCTCCCATGTGGCCGCCATCTTTCTTTCCAGAGGGAGGAGGGCGGAAGGGAGCAACACCCTTTCCCCTCTGGGCAGAAATGATTGCCTGGATCAACGCATAGTCCTTTCACTTTTCTGCTCCAAGCTGCTGGGTTCTGCATTAAGCCCTTGTGCTTCTGGGGCTGTGGCCGTGCTGGAGAGCCGCTCGTGGGGGCAACTGGTGGCCTCGGTAGGGCGTGAAGGGCGGACCGAAACGCCCCCCTTCCCATGAGGTTTTAGTCGCCCCCACACTCCCGGCTCATACCTGCTGTCCACAAGGCTCCCATGTGGCCGCCATCTTTCTTTCCAGAGAGGAGAGGGCGAATGGGGCAACACCCTTTCCCCTCCGGCAGACTTGATGGCCTGGATCAATGCATAGTCCTTTCACTTTTCTGCTCCAAGCTGCTGGGTTCTGCATTAAGTCCTTGTGCTTCTGGGGCCGTGGCTGTGCTGGAGAGCCGCTCGTGGGGGGCAACTGGTGACCTCGGTAGGGCGTGAAGGACGGACCAGAACGCCCCCCTTCCCATGAGGTTTTAGTCGCCCCCACACCCCCGGCTCATATCTGCTGTCCACAAGGCCCCCATGTGGCCGCCATCTTTCTTTCCAGAGGGAGGAGGGCGGAAGGGAGCGACACCCTTTCCCCTCTGGGCAGAAATGATTGCCTGGATTAATGCATAGTCCTTTCACTTTTCTGCTCCAAGCTGCTGGGTTCTGCATTAAGCCCTTGTGCTTCTGGGGCTGTGGCCGTGCTGGAGAGCCGTTCGTGGGGGGCAACTGGTGACCTCGGTAGGGCGCGAAGGACGGACCAGAACGCCCCCCTTCCCATGAGGTTTTAGTCGCCCCCACACTCCCGGCTCATACCTGCTGTCCACAAGGCTCCCATGTGGCCGCCATCTTTCTTTCCAGAGAGGAGAGGGCGAATGGGGCAACACCCTTTCCCCTCCAGCAGACTTGATGGGCTGGATCAACGCATAGTCCGTTCACTTTTCTGCTCCAAGCTGCTGGGTTCTGCATTAAGTCCTTGTGCTTCTGGGGCCGTGGCCGTGCTGGAGAGCCGCTCGTGAGGGGTGACTGGCGACCTCGGTAGGGCGTGAAGGACGGACCGGAACGCCCCCCTTCCCACGAGGCTCTAGTCGCCCCCACACCCCCGGCTCATACCTGCTGTCCACAAGGCTCCCATGCGGCCGCCATCCTTCTTTCCAGAGAAGAGAGGGCGAATGGGGCAACACCCTTTTCCCCTCTGGGCAGAAATGATGGCCTGGGTTAACGCATCGTCCGTTCACTTTTCTGCTCTAAGCTGCTGGTTTCTGCATTAAGTCCTTGTGTTTCTGGGGCTGTGGCCGTGCTCCAAACTTAACTCTGATTTTCAGGGAGAAAGATTGGGTGGTTTACTTCTCATTGATCACTTTGTATATAGAGAGATGTCGCGCGGCCGCGTAAGCGGCCGCGCGGTTTTGAGAAAAAGTCCTCGTTCCCGCATACTCGAGCTGTGTTTGTAGAGGCTTCTGGTCACCAGGGTTCCATCTGGGGGAGGCGGGATGCGGCGCCTACTCCATCTGGAACTTCCCGGTGCTCTCGGCTCTTTTTGGAACCTGTTTTTTCTTTTTTCTTTTCCTCCGGGATCCCGCACCCTCCATGTCTTCCTTCTCTTATTCTGAACGTTTCAAAGATGGCGCTGGGGGGCGGGCTGTGGGCATGACTTCCGGGATCAGAGGTTACCTGGGAGGTGTAGTCCGGCAGATTTGAGAAAAAGTCCTCGTTCCCGCATACTCGAGCTGTGTTTGTAGAGGCTTCTGGTCACCAGGGTTCCATCTGGGGGAGGCGGGATGCGGCGCCTACTCCATCTGGAACTTCCCGGTGCTCTCGGCTCTTTTTGGAACCTGTTTTTTCTTTTTTCTTTTCCTCCGGGATCCCGCACCCTCCATGTCTTCCTTCTCTTATTCTGAACGTTTCAAAGATGGCGCTGGGGGGCGGGCTGTGGGC